TAATTTACATGAGAAAGACATAAACTTTTATCTTGTGTAGGCTACTGTTATTTTGGGTTCTCCATTGCTCACTGCCAAAACTAATCCTAACTATTATAAAACACGTAGTGTGTGTTCCAGGGTCCTAGTGGGAAAGCAGATGGGAGAAAGTTTAATAAAGGCACGTTTACAGCAATGTGGCAGGGTACCAGGAAACCAGAGGCTGCAGCAGGGGCTAGTAATGGTGGGTGTCAGCACCCAGGGTCTGAAGAGGGCAAAGGGGGAGAAACAACAGGAACCCAGAGCCAGAGGGAGCTGTGTGAAGAGGGTGCCAGACAGCAGCTGTGACCTTCCAGTGGTGATCCCGCAGGGAGGGAAGCAAGAGAGTAAATTCCCTGATTTCACCATCCTCCTAACTTCTGATCCCGGCTGGTGCCCTGGCTGGCTGAGTGCGAGTGGAAGGTGTGGAGGCCTCTGCCGCAGCTCAGCGTCCCAGGGCACCGGGCCTGAGGTGGGGGGACTGGATCTAGAGGGGCACAGGGAAGCTGTTCTTTATCATTCGTCCCCTTGTATCCTTTGTCCACATGAAAACCCATGTCCCCAGCACAGGGGACACACAGCAACCGAATCGCTGGGAGGTAATGTCAGTTCGATCATACTCCCACTGAAGCCTGAAATGTTAGCTACCACCAGTGTCCTTCACATAAGTTAGCAGAGGAAAATGGGGGTTATGAGGCCTAAGTTCATGGTCAGAGCTGCCCGCTTTCACCCTCCAATGACACAATCTCCTTACCCTTTGCCGGCGCCTTGGTGGGACAAGGTTCTTTACCTGGTGGGTGACTCAAACCTTTATTCCTGTAGGATCTGAGTCATTAGTGGTCCTGAATTTGTTGGGTTGCTGAAATTAATTATTGACCAGGATTATGAATAAAGGATTATTAAGAGGTATTGCAGTGAATCCCTTGGGTTCCAGTTCTAGTTTCTACCTCTGTTATACAACAGCAACCTAATTTCCTCTGGAAATTGGGATTAATCAGCTCAGATATTATGGTGACCACTTCCTCTGCCTGTTGGTTCAGTAGCATGAGAAACCAAAATGGCTAGGGGCTATCTCAGCTTCTAGGCCATTGTCCCATGGTGGAAATATTTCTCCCTTGGACATAGGGAGCTCCAACCCCCCTAGGCCCAAGATTATGGCAATGGGCAGCAAAAATTCTTCCAGTGGGTTACAGACTTTAGGTATAATAGTGCGGAGGCACCTGCCACCACTACCTCTTGGTGTTATATATGATTCTCGTTACGATTTTTAAAAATATACTGCATTCTGCAACGTGGCACCCCCACCCGGCAGGGTGTAGTTTCCCAGCTGTGCTCTGACAGGCTAATCCACCATTCTATCAAGCCAGCTGCCTCTGGGTCACAGGGCACACAGCAAGGCCAGTGAATTCCCTGAGTGTGAGCTCATTTGTACGTTTCCTTGGCTGTAATATGTATGCCCTGGTTGGAGGCTATATTATGTGGAATGCCATGCTGATGGACATGGCATTCTGTAAGTCCACACATGGTGGTGCTGACAGAAACACTGTGGGTAGACAAAGCAAATTCAGGCCTGAAATATGTGTCTATCCTTGTGAGGATAAAGTACAGCCCCTCCATGATGGGAGGGTCCAATTGAATCAACCTACAACCAGGCGAGAATGGGGCCCAATCAGGGACTCGGCACTGGCTGTAAGG